ACACACACACATACACAAACATACACACACACACACACACACACACACACACACGCACACAGCAAACAGCTCACCTAACCCAGGTAAAAGTCCACATATTATATGACGACCAACCCGGAAGTCTATGGGTAATAATACCAGCCTCTCCATGAAGTCACTGAAGCATTTTTTATCCCCCACCTTTAACACACATACACACACACACACACACACACACAAACACACACATGCATACAGTGTCATGCCACTCCACTGGTTCCACTGGTTTCACTAAAAGGACATCACAATCTCCATTCCAGCCACTGATTGGTTTAAGTGCCATTGTTGTCTGTTTCCAATCATTTCGGCTCTGATAAAGTGGTGAAACAGGGAAGTCTGGTACCAAATAAAGCAAAACGCCAGATTTCCTCAACGAGAAGAGAGTAAAAATAGACAACAAGACAAACTCCAAGAGTAAAGAGTTGTTTCCTGTAAAGTTTTGTTCGTAACATCAAACTAAATTTCCAAACATTTTACATGGAGGACAGAGGAACACTAGGAAGTGTTAAGGTCATCTATCAAAAAGACGTCTGACAGTTCAAGAATTGCAGATTTCGCTCAAACTGGAGAATCTGGTCTTTCAAGGCTTTTCAAGGCCAGATTAAGATTTCTGGAGGTCAAAAGTCTTTTTTTTAAAACACAGAGCGACACAGAAGTTTTAAAAGCACCTTAAACGAGACAACTTTTCAGTACAGAGACCATCAAAAAGACAGAAAAACACTTGAGGTTCGACATTAACACTGTACCTGTATCCCAAACTGAGGAGCGCAGATATGGACAAGCAGGCCAAGAAGATGTAGTCGGTGCGTTTTTGGCTTTTGGGAGTCACTTTGCACATTCACACTTGTCTGAAACTCTCTCTCTGTCTGTCCATTCACTCTGCTTTGATGCTGACAGGCTGCGGCAGTAAGAGACTCTCCTCGCCTGCCAGTGTCTGGATGTCTGAGTGTGGAGGCAAGCAAAGGTGGTTTAGTGTTTACTTATTCTCACTGGCCAGAAGAGAGAGGTGGGGCCACTCAGTACAGGTAACCCCCCACTGTTTTTCTTCCTCCTTCAATCTCTCCCTCCCTCTCTCTCTCTCTTAACTGATAAGGAATAAGACAAAAGGGAAGGGATAAAGGGCAGAGGGTGTGACCAAGGTGATGATTGACAATCAGGGAAAAGTCATGATCTAGTGTGTGAGTGTGCATATGTATTAACAGATTCACACTCATCATTAAATAAAATGGC